TTTTTTTTTTTTTCAGTTTTGTTGGTATTGTTTTTGAGTCTACACAAGGCAAGATATATACTGATTTGGTTTCTACATCTACAATTAGTGACATTGAAGACATTCTTCAAATTGTACAACCACGCTCATCGTCCTTTTGAGTTGTCCCTCCTCATTAGCAAAAACTCACAGTCCCCTAAAGTTCCTATTTAATCTTTCAAATTGCTGTTATTCATTTGATCCCATCTACATATAAGGGGGCTTCAGGAAATTTGTGGACAAGTTCCATTATCTTTTTTTTTTTTAAGTCAGGGAATCCAAGCTCATATTTATTAAACACAATTTGGGAAGTATTACAATTTACTTGACTAATTTCCTTAGGATTAAAAGAATTTATATATTTGTTATGCAAGATTCTGTGGAAGTTCCATGATCTTTTGATTCCATTTTCTCATGAACTTTTTGAAGCCCCTTCATAGTTCTTAAAAGAGCTTAATTCTCCAGATAGGCCTTTATAACTAGTTAAGTTAAACTATTGTTCAGCTTTAAGAAAACTTTAGGGGATATTTTTGGTTTGAGGTTTAATGATTCTATCTGGGTCATGGTTTTAGGGGTTCATTTGTGGTCTATTAGAATTTGAAATTCTGTCCTACATTTACCCCCTTTTGATAAGGATTCTTCTTTAGAATCTATAATCAACATGTTTAATAAATGGTAACCAGGCACCATCCAGGTCTTCTGGTCTCCTGACAAAGGAAGCAGTTGTTCAAGAAGGCAACTGACCATACATTTCATATTGTCTTAGGCTGGAGAGGCAAAACTAATGAAACTTACATATGTATAGTTAAAGAAAAGCTTACAGAAGTGGGAGAGCCCCAAGTTCGGGTCAGATGAACCAAGACTGGCAGGTTATATGGCAGGCAAGTACTAGAGCAGGTCACTGGTTCAAGAACAGAGAACCGGTAGTAGGAGGACAAGTCAGATGTAAGATCCAGACCATAGATGAGTATAAGTAACCTTTGCCTGAGTGTCTAATATATTGGAAGCAGGCCACAGCCCCGCGGAAGCATCCTTTGAATTGATTGGCTGCTCAGAGCAGACCTAGTCATAGAATTGTTGTTGTTGTTGTTGTTGTTGTTAAGTGTCGTCAAGTCTATTTTGACTCAGTGATCCTACGTAAGGTTTCTGAGGCTTTAAATCTTGGCAGGAATAGAAAACCTCATCTTTCTCCTGCAGAGTGGTTGGTAGGCTCAAACTTATCTTATGGGACCTTTGTTCTCCCACATCACAGAATTAATTACACTATGCTAGATCTCATTGTGGGGATGACAATGTCTCAAATGCCAAACCACTGAGAAACCTGGCCCAATCCAGCTGACAAACCCACTAACTATCACACATATCCTCCTATTCCTGACTCTCCTTCCATTCACTGTACATTTCTATTGGACAGCGCTGCCTGAGACTTTGCCCAATGGAAACAGTTAGAGCTCTGGTCCACCTGGGTTTCTGCCAAGTCTCTTTCTCCATCTCTGCCCTCTCTTGTGCTTTCAGCTAACATGGGTGCCTCTACCAAGCTCGGAAACACTGTGGACGTACTGCAGGAAAAGATTGGCAGCCTCCAGAAGTCCAGGATAAAGGTCAGTGTCTTGAGCGAACAGCCCCTTTGAAGACTGTTTCTTGAGGTGAGCCATTGGACGACTCCTTAAACTCAGAACCAAAAAGAACATCTACCCTCCAAGACACATCATCATCCTGTAGCAGAAAGAGGATCTAGGGGAGTGAGCGACCCAGCAGACTGCTACAGAACATGAAAGGAGCCTTTGAGGCCTATGGCTGCAGGATTCCCTGAAGTCAGAGCCAATTTGACAGCATGTCCTAGGTGGTTGTTGAGATAAGGCAGGCTGGTGATGCACTGGTCTGATGCGCTCTCCTTGGCCTGAATCCAAGGTTCTCCAGCCCTGGTGACCTCAGAAACTGAGGCCTGAGCTGCTGTGTGTCCCCATTTTAGGAAGAAGAACTTGAGCGCATTTGGGGTGGCCAGATCCAAATGATCAAGGACCATCATATCGTGTTGGACAGAACCATTGAGAAGCTCCAGATTCGCATGGATGAATACAAGGTGTGAAGTCTGGGGTCCTGGGAAAGTTACATGATGGCTGGGTGGGGGAGGGTAGTTCTTCATCAGGAACCTTAGCCCTTCCTCAATCAGTGCACATTGTAGTGGCATTTCGTTGTGTGTAAGTTATACTTCCCACCAGCCATCTGTTCAGTGTACTGCACTTTGGTAGTTTACGTGTTGCTGTGATGCTGGAAGCTATGCCACCAGTATTGTAAGTACAGCAGGGTCACCCATGGTGCACTGGGTCCAGCAGAGGGGACAGGCTATTGTCTACTATAGTGCTGGAAGACAAGCCCCCAAGGTTGGAAGACACAGCTATGAACCTGAGCAGGCCAATGATCATGAAAATGGTGCAAGACCGAGCAAGGTTTTGTTCTCTCATTGGTGGGGTTGCCAAGAGTCAGAGCCAATTTGACAGCAACTAACAAAACAACATGTTAGACTTCAGTTAAAATCAAACAAATCCCGCCCTGCCCCCCTAACACACACACAGAAGGGCCTGGAGAGGGGCTGTCTTGATGATGACTTTGCTACCAGTCAGAGAAGGTGCCTGGGGAGGTATGAACGCTCAGTAACATTTGCTGGATGAGTCATATCCTGTACAGGGACGGGGCTCTTGGAAGTTCTAGAACAATGGAGTTGGTCACAGTGACCCCACCAGCAGACTTAGGGGCTCATTACGTGACGAATGCACAGACAGACACAGAGCACCTTCTCCAAATACCTTACCTGATGACCCTGGACTGATGGTTTCCCAGGACCTACCCAGTCCTGTCTGTACCTTGTCCCAAACCTTCAGAGAGGGGCTCAAGAGTTCCTTCCCAGCAGGAGGGAGCCATTTGAGCTGGCTTCCTTGGTGGCTTCTGACTGCAAGTCAGGAGGCTATTATGGGATGCATTAAGATTTGGGGGCACAAGAGTGGGGAAGGACAAGGCCTTTCCCATATCTTGCTCCCTCCTGGAATGGGCTCATAGCGTGACCAGGCTCCACCAGTAACTGAGAAAGAAAAGAACTTCAGCAAGGGGAACCACTGCAGAACCTGAGACGTGCGTGTGGAAGGCGCAGCTACAGGGCTTTGTAGCTACAGGGCAGGGTGTGGGCAGCGGACACCCAGGCCACCAGTGGTGACCTATGTGAGGACCACTGATCAGGAATGCTATCATCTCCTGCCAGCCTTCTTCCAGTACTACTCTTCAGTGGGGCCATGGACTCCACGTCTCAGGGTCACACAAATACCACAAGTGGGTTGCTTAACCAAACAGACACCTATTTTCTCATGGTTTAAAAAGAACCAGATACGTTGCCATCTAATCAGTTCCAGCTCCCGCGATACGATTGGCCTGAGTAGAAGCGCATCACAGTTTCCAAGGTTGTCATCTTTACAGGAGCAGACTGCCCTCTCTTCCTCCCATGGAGTGGCTAGTGGGGTCAAACCACTGACCTTTGGGTTAGCAGCCAATGCCTAACCACTGTGCCACCAAGGACCTTTCTCACAGTGTAGGAGCTGGACACCTTGGATCCATCTTCCTCATCTCTGCTACTTCAGTGCCGGGTCTCTCTTTAGATCTCAACCAACAAATGGTTTAAAACACACACACTGCCCTGGGCCAATCCTGTCTCATTAGCATAGCAAAGAACCTCACCCCACTCCCAAAAGGTATTTAGATCCACAGATAGAGGGGACACAGTTCAATCCCTAACAGAGATTGAAGCAAGGTCAACTCTTCATGTCTGATGAGCAAAGCGAGACAAGATCATGGTATCTGCCTTCAGGTCGTTGTCCCTGTTGGTGTTGAGTGTTGTCGAGTGGATTCTAACTCATAGAGACTCCAGAGGACAGAGGAGAACTACCCCAGAGTGTTCCCAAGGCTGTTACTCTTTGCAGAAACAGACTGTTTCATCTTTTTCCCGTGGAGTGGCTGGTGGATTCAAACCACCAACCTTTTGGTTAGAAACTGAGCTCTTAGCCACTGCACCACCAGGGCTCCCTTAGTTGCCCCTAGCCAGGAGAAACACAAGAAGATGAAGCCCTATCAATCTGTGCCAAAATGGGTCACATCTACTTCTATCCCAACTTCCACCCTGGCTCTTGTGCCGACAATAATTCATTGCTTGTGAGGTTAACCCTGGAAGGACCTGGAGCAGGGCTTGGCATTCAATACCGGTTTAATTAAATATGTCTTACGGGAACACCTGCTGCAAGAGATCAGCTGCCCAATCAAACTCTTCCAGGGAGGCAGTGAGGGGCTATCAACTCATCTGAAACCATATCTGCAGCAGCGGAAAGAATGCCTCCGTTCTTGTTCTAGCTGTACATCTGTATGAAAACAACAGTTGGTGCAAGAAACCCTTCCATTCACACATCGATTCATTCAGCAAAAGTTCCTGAGTGCTCCCTCTATGTCAGGCACTCTTTTAGGGACCAGTGGGAGCAGCAGTAAACAAAATAGACAGGCTTCAGCCTCCCTTTTGTGTATGTGTGTGTATGTGTGTAGGAGCAGTATTTGTTTGTATGATTGTAACTGAAGAATATTTTACAAGGTGCCTCATGGTACTGTAGTTCAGCTTGTCTGCTAACCAGAAGGTCAGTGGTTCGAACCCACCAGCAGCTCCATGGGAGAAAGGTGTGGCAGTCTGCTTCAGGAAACCCTGTGGACACTTCGACTCTGTCCTAGAGGGTCATTATGAGTCAGAAACAACTCAACAACAGTGGGCTTAATGATTCCCAAGAAACAGACACATAGCTGCTGTTGCATTGATTCCTACTCGTGGTAACCTTATGTACAACACAATGAAAGGCTGCAGCTCTGATGATTTCCAGCATGCTAAGGAGCTCTGGTAGCGTAGTTGTTACAAATTGGGCTGCGATCTGCAAGGTCAGCAGTTCGAAACTACCAGCTGTCCTGTACGAGAAAGATGAGGCTTTCTGCTCCCGTCAAGATTTACAGCCTCGGAAACCCTGTGCAGGGTCACTATGAGTCGGAACCAACTCCATGACACATGACCTCCACCAGGTGCTCTTAGGTCAATCTTAGGTCAGTCCATCTCACTAAGCGTCTCCTGTGTCCTCATGGTCCTTCTGCTTCACCAAACATGATGTCTTCCTCCAGCGATTGATCCCTCCTCAGGACATGTCCAAAGCAAGCAAGTCAGGCCATGTTCTGTTGTGATGCATAAGGTCTTCTTTTCTTTTCCTTTTTAAGGCTTTTATTGTGTTTTGAGTGAGTAAAGGCTTACAGAGCAGATCATCATTTTTACACATAGAAAATCACTGTAATGGTTACAGTCCCCTCCATGCACCCTTATTGTTGTTGTTAGTGACATCGAGTTGGTACCAACTCATAGAAACCCTGTGCACAACAGAATGAAACACTGCCCGATCCTGGGCTAACCTCACAATTGTTGCCACGCTTGAGCCCATAGATGCTGCCACTTTGCAAATCCATCTCGCTGGGGGGTCTTCCTCTTTTTCTCTGACCCTATACCTTACCAAACATGATATCCATCTTCAGCTACTGGTCTCTCCTGACAGTATTTCTGAAGTATGAGAGACAAAGTCTGGCCATCCTGGCCTCCAAGGAACACTCTGGCTGCACTGCTCTTCCAACACAGATCTGTTGGTTCTTTTGGCAGCCCATGGCACTTTCAATATTCTTATCCAACACCATAACTCAAAAGCATCAATTCTTCTATG